TGATTCGATTGTGACATTAATGAATTGTGGTAACAGAAGTGCTTTGTAAAATTACCAATTTAATTTTATAAAGTAACTTAATTATGTACCAGTATGTGTTATAACTTGAATGTCATAAAAAAATCAAATTTGAAATAAAGTGGCATGATGTCAAAAATAATTAGTGAGTATTACTCAATAATTTTTTTTTCTTTATAGTATTAGTTATTAGTTATTAATTAATAACAATAAATATTACTGTTCTCTAAAAAAGTAGTCTATCCCGTACTTTAAAAAAAAAATTGTAAATATTGTGTAGAATGTAACAATCTTCTTAGCCAAATATACCTTATTCCAAAGTTATTTAAGTTTATAAGATACAATTCAATATCTAACTTCAGTGACGGGCTACTATCATATTCAGAAAACTTAACTTTTCACCATTTGTCAACTACATATTATAATATTGATGAATTAAACAATTAATTGACCAACAGTTGACTAACAATAATAATTAGTTGATTACAGTTAAACTGGGATCAACTATGTTGGAACATAGTTCTCGATAATGTTAATTTATAATTAGCAAGAGGAAAGCTAAGAGAAGTTTTTTAGAAAATAAACTGTATAATTCAACCAAGATATTAGAAGTATGTAGAATGTATGCGCTGACGTATGACTAAGATAAGTTTGGTTGAATGACAATAATTTGATGCCAAGAATTCACCCCTTGTACATTTAACTGGATACAAAAAAATAGCATGCATCACGCTCTAAGAGAAACGTGTTGGTGATTGTCATTATTGTTAGGTACATTTCTTTATTACGACCTATTTAATTAATGAAATAAAAATGTCTTTGACGTAAATAACAATTCTTCAATCTATCTTTTAAGAAAACAGTTACGAGTGACATTAATACATCAGTTAGAAATGTAACAAACCGACACAAATAAGTTTGCATCTTAGACAGCTGCGCCTATGTCTTATTCCTTCTATTCCAATGCGTTCTCTCTCAATTTCGCGCAGTTCTACCTGGGACAGAAATGCAAACTTTTTTGTGTATAATTTATATATTATATGAGATTGACCACTTTAAAAAATAAAAAAACTGATAAAAAAGAATTGTTTATGATATTCACAATCAAGTGTTCAACAAGGAACAGGAGAACTAGTTGAATATGTCAACGTCATAAGGGGATGTTTCCCATTTGAAAATTGCATGTGCTCTGTTTTATTTGCACAACTGCTTTCCTAATTCACTTTACTAAAAAAGAATATTTATATTTAAGAATAGAAGTTATAGGTTTTTCATATATTTCTAGATTTAAAATATAATTTTGATTTATTTACCCCTAAAAGTCTCTAGAGTCAGTACAACTGTTAGGATACTTTTTGCGGATTGTTTATTACAACTACCCAAGGACTCCACATTAATTCAAAATGCTTGTAAAAGTACCTATTAATATCACCCTTGATTGCTGTCTTGTCTATATAAAATTTACAAAATTATGGAGGTAAAGAAATAACTCTCTATACTAAAGTGCCTCCGAACATTCCTTGGTAAAAATTAATACAAAAAGGACAAATTAACTAAGGGTCAATTCTCTACAAAAATATATATTTTTTAATTCTTCCAGTAGGTCAGCTTTTTATATTAACCTCAGATTTGTATTAAAATATTTGTACTTAAATTTTATACTACGAATCCTGTTCATTGTAGAACACCTGAAGAAGAGGATACAAAATTCTCGAAAGCTTGAGCAGAAATTAAGAGTATTCTTTAGATTGAATTGCCCAATTATATAATCAATGATGGCTATACACCTAAAAAGGCAAATGTTTTTACAAGAGAACAAGTCAACGATTTTCTCGTTCAGGCACCCGATAACACATATTTGCTAATGAAGGTAGTGATGATCTTAGGCATTGCAGGAGCATGCCGTTCTGATGAGTTATGCAAACTTACTTTGCACAACGTCAATTTCGAAAATTTCGATGACATTATTGTAGTTCCAATTCCAGATTCTAAAAATGGTACGTTTATAATTACTTCTCAAGAAATATATCAAGATTAAACTTGAAATTAAAACTGATGTTACAATCAACCAGTCGGCAATAATACCCTTTCTATAATTCTTATTCTATGATAAGATTGCACAGTTTTTGAAACTAGAACATCCTGGAACATATACAGGCCATTCATTCCGAAAAACATCGGCAACGTTACTGGCTAATACAGGAGTTGATGTATTAGCAATCAAGAGACATGGTGGGTGGAAATCAGCCACAATAATTGCAGAAAGTTGTTGCTGACGTAGGACAAAAACTTTTTAGCGGGAAAAAAATACTATTAGAAGTTTCTCTGCGGACTATTGTTCAGAAACGTGTTATAAAGAAAATATCAAAAAATCAGCTCGAGACTAGTTGGGAAACTTTGTTAAAACAATGGTCAAAATTATGGAAAAGTAGTTTTTCGACTGGCGTAAAAAAACTGTTATTCATAGAGAAAAAAAGGTTTATACAAAAGAGGTAGGTATTTAATAAATCTGTAAAATAAGACAAGTCCGATTAAATTCCGATAATTTGTTTATGCGCAAGAGCTCAAAAATGGTCGAAATTGTCCGCTTTTTTCAATTGCTAATAATTAATGTAATTTTCATCGCAGACACTTGTAATTCAAGATTTTTGAAGCTTTTTGCGCCCTTAATAAGTGGTAAAAATTTCAACTCAAAAACTTCATTAGCTTGGCGTTGGCGGAATTTGTTATCTAAGAAGATGCTATTTTCAATTCATTTTTCCCAAGCTCACATGCGTTGTAGGGTTTCGATCATTAGTTGTTTTTGTACCTAAATAGTTGTATTGACATATGCATTTACTGATAATTTAATTTTTCAAATTTAATTTGTTTAAAAATGACTGAAAAAATGTTAATATTTATAACATCGTTAAGTGCGCATGCTAAGCCTCGCCTTCCCCACTCGTTCGCTAGACCAAGTAATAAAATGCATCGCCGCTATCTTCTTTTTCGAAATTAAATAGTTGAATTCACCTTAATGTTAATGTAGGACATGAAAATATAGCTCTTAATGTATACTCTCTCCAAATTTCGGCTCTTAATATTAATAATTAAGGTCACTACGATTAAATAAATAAAAAAAAATATCTCAGCTTCTAATCAACTTACAACAACGACTTTTTTTTTTAATTCAAAGAAAACTAAAGTAAAGAGGTTACTATTTTATTTTATAATAATTACCTATCTTAACAATTTAATAAATATTAACATTATTTAGTCAATTTTAAACAAATTAAATTTGAAAAACTAAATTCTCAGTAAATGCCTATGTCAATATAACTATTTAAGTACAAAAACAACTAATGATCAAAACCCTACAACGCCTGTGAGCTTGGGAAAAATGAATTGAAAATAGCATCTTCTTAGATAACAAATTCCGCCAACGCCAAACCAATGAAGCTTTCGAGCTAAAATTTTTACCACTTATTAACGGTGCAAAAAGCCTAAAAAATCCTGAATTACAAGTGTCTGCGATAAAAATTGCATTAATTATTAGCAATTGAAAAAACGGCAATTTTCGACCATTTTTGAGCTCTGTGCATAAACAAATTATCGGAATTTAATCGGACTTTTTTCATTTTATAGGCTTATTTAATACCTACCTTTTTTGTATAAACTTTTTTTCGCTATGAATAATAGCTGTTTTACGTGAGTAAAAAAAAAACACTTTTCCGTAACTTTGACCACTGTTAAATCAAAGTTTCCCAACTAGCCTCGAGTTGATTTTTTGATATTTTGTTTATAACAGGTTTCCGAACAATATTCCGCAGAGAAACTTATAATAGTATTTTTTTCCCGAAACAGGCTCTTTCATGTGTATAATGACTGGTCTAACGGTTTAAGTAACAGAAATGAAATAGCCAACAGGATTCTTTACAATGACACTCAACTAGGTTCTAGTAGTACGTCGCATCATACTGTATTAATGGATCAGTTAGATAATATTGAGCCTCCAGAAAAATGTGACGTTAGTAAACGCGAGAGGAATAATAATCCAGTTTTTATAAATGTTACTAAATGTAATAACTGTACAATTACCGTAAATATTCATTCATAATAATTAATAAAATGTAATGTTCACCTAATATTTCTATTTATTTGTTCATAAAATATGTATTTATAACTCGAAACCGCTTTTTTCCCTAGGGAGGTAAGTTACCTCACTTACCTACCGTTGACCATAGCAACTTCCACTTCTACGGTAAAATCCACTTACCTCCTTAAAACAATGTATTAGTAGTCTATTTACTATATTGGGAGCAGATAAACATATTTATGTTCCTGATAAAATTTGCAAGATTAAACATTATTCTTATTGCGAAATAACCTTAATAAACTAAATATATAGTTGAAACGCTGAAAAATTTTGCAAAAACATGATTTATGTATTTGTTTGTTACAACCGTCTTTTCTATATCCGGAATATTTATTTATGCAAATTACCCACTACGTTGGTGAATTGAAAAAATAATTTTATAAAATTATTATTTATGATTGATACATTTTCCAGGCATGTGAAGCTGGCATTTTGAAATTTAATTTGAATTAATTAGTACGGACGTAATTCATGAAATAAATTTAACACTTTGATAAAATACGTAGTTAGCCATCAAAATCGTAGTTTATTTTATATCGGCAATTATAAATGCATCGCATTTGCTTAATACAGCGAAGCGATCCAGTTTTTTCACAGGAAATTAACCACATTTCATGGACCCAACCACTTACTTATATTAAATTTCGAACCTAATTTCAACCTAGATGTGTAAAGTGACCTTCTTCTTAAGTGTTATGAATAATAAAAATTGAAATGAAATTATATTACTTAACCCTACCGCATGTGGGAAGTTATAGTCACTCCTCCTGATTATTTCCATGATTTGAGGCGCATGTACAACAGACATTCTCTTCACGCAACAAACTGAAAACTTTTGTTGCAGTCTCCAACAGTTGCAGATCTGTCAAGCTCAAAAGGGAGGTAAGTTTAACGTGCATGTACGTGTAGCGCTTCTATCAACTTTCGAAAACACTTTTGCCGGTTCCAGTATTGCCTTTAAAATATAGCGTGAGTGTATTTTATTAATAATAATTTAAAGTGGATAACTGTTTTTCGTACATTTGTGTTCCTCTGAAAAGCACGAAAGAAAAAATGATTTTTAAATCGTTTGTGCTTTATCTGACTCAAAAATAAACGTTGTACTTTATTTGAATTTTGCGCGTTGCCGACATTTTCTTGACATTAAATGTATGTTACCTATTTTTCCATGATAATTGGTAATAATTTCGACCTCTTTACTAAAATATATATATATAACAGAAAACTGTGCAAATTATGTATATACCAATTTTTTTATATACTGCTAAAACCATTTTTATAGATTATACTTTTGGGAAAATTAGGAAAGTATTTTGTCAATAAGTAAGTGTTGAAATCACCGGATTATTTGCAAAAACGTATTCAGAAACTGACTAATAAATCTTCTTTTTTGTAGATACTTGTAAGTATAGTATTTTGCAAAAGTAAACTAAAAGTAACTTCAGTTTGCTAATATGTACTTTTTAAAAGTTTTCTGCTAAAATACTAATAGGTCTTTGTCAAACGCGTTTCGAAATACCCAGTCGCAAGCCTTTCAATAGTTTGAAAAAGATAATTTTATAACATTTTACTTATTTCTTCTTCAGATTTATTTCTTACGTCTTCTTCACGCAAAAAATATCTTAAATCTAGAATGATGTATTTATATATACGCAAAGAAATATATTCTTGATGCTGATATACCACAACCTTAAACTTAGGAAAATATCTTCCATTAAGAATTATTTAATTGAATAAATTTTATTTAGTTTAAGATTGCGGTATATTAGCATCAATAATATATTTCTTTGCGCATAAATATACCATTCGTGATTTAAGAATTTTTTTTCGTGTTGATGTAATAAATAAAAAAATTGATTTTCTGTTTCAAATTTTTATTTTGCGATAAAAATTCAAATGTAATAGTTTGAAATAGTTATTAAATTTTTTGCTTTCCAAAATCCTTAAAAATGTATTTTCCGTTTCTCATTTTTATTTTACAATAAAAATTTAAATGTAATAATTTGAAATAATTCTTAATTTTTTTTTTCCAAAATCCTTAAAATTTTGAAAACATTTGCTATTTAAAATCCATTTGCTAAAAACTGATTTTTTATGCAATACTTTCAGCATTAGAATAAATCAACTTTATACATGCCAATATTTTCAGATGGAACCGAATTTGATTACGATTGTCACTATACAGGAATTTTTTAAGTTATTAGACACAAACAAATTCAAAATCAATGTGAAAAGTTAAATGAATATTTCAACATTTTTATAGTTACGATAGATTTTTTGTTGTAAAACAATGTTTTACTAAAAGTAATACATCTAAACATTCAAATTTTCAAAAACAAAACATGTGAGTCGCTCTTTCTTAATTTTATAATTCTATTTAAAAAATCAGGATCCATTTTTAAGTGATTTAATGAGATTTTTCTTAACCAATAGTTTCCAGTAAAATAACCAAATACTTTCTCTTGTGGATACCAAATTGGATTTTATCATATTTTCTAATTTGTTCCTTTTAGGTGTATTTTGAAATATTCCAAAAATAAAATGAAGTAGGATTGGTATGGGAAAAATAATTTTACATCATAAATTTATCAGTCGACCATAAAAATGCCATCATGATAAATGATGTACGGGAATTCAAAGATCAAGAAAGCAAAAACACGAATAAAAGAAAAAATATTTGTGATTGTTCACGAATGCCATAAAACTACAATACTTCTATACAGAATGGAAACTGGAAAAAATTCTGTAACTTAATAAATAAGGTTTGTCGCAAAATACCTGAAACACGTCAATTTTTATTTTCAATGTGGCATATTACAAAGAGGTTTGATTTTTTTTATTTTAAGGCTATTTAAATTGCAAATACAATTAGATATATATATATTTTTTGTTACTTCTTATAAGCAACGTGGCGGAAAAAATAAAATAAGGAAATGTTTACTGAAACTACTTTAAGGCAAAAAATTTTCAAAATACCCTCCTTGTTGCAGGCATACCCTAATCGATCATAAAAAGCATTCCGAACATTTTGTAACACTTGCCCAATGTCGTCCCTGATTCTTTGTCGAAGCTCGGTGATGTCGTTAGGTTTAGTACCATAAACCTAGTTTTTTAGATATCCCCATAAAAAAATCTAATGGGGTAAGATCGGGTGATCTTGCTGGCTACTCAATTGGGCCCCTTCTTTCAATCCACCTATTCGGAAACACTTGGGGATATCTAAAAAGCAAGGTTTGTGCTACTAAAAGCAACTGCCACTTAATCTAACGACATTGCCCAGCTTCAACAAATAATCAGGGATCAAATTAGGCAAGTAACGTCGGAATTGTTACAAAATGTTCGGAATGCTTTGTATTATCAATTAGGGTATTGTCAGCAACAAAGTGGCACTTTGGAAATTTTTTGCATTAAAGTAGTTTGAGTAAACATTTCCTTATTTTATTTTTTCCGAAACATTGCTTATAAAAATAACAAAAAATACGTAATTTTATTTGCAATTGAAAAAGTATAGTAAACCATGATCGTAATTGATGCCTCTCTTGCTTTAAGTTACATGTCTTAGGTTAAGTATATTCATTTAACTCCTACACTTTACCGAACTATTGTATCTTTCTTCTTTTTTTGTTTTTTGTTCTTCTGATGTTATTGAGTTTTTTATATTTATATTATGTACTATTTCAATGTAATTTAGCTCTATAAGTGGAATTACTTCTGTTGGGCTAATGAATTATTATTATTAAAAAGCTACAACCTAGCCTTCCATTAAAAAAAAGTTGGGGGTTGCTGAAATAAACAGACCCCTTTGTAACTGCCCCATTGAAAATAAAAATTGAGGTGTTTCACGAATTTTCCGACAAACCTTTATTTATTAAGTTACAGCATTTGTTCCGGTTAAACTTTCTACTCTGTATAGATCTATTATTAGTTCGAAAAAAAATTACGTGATAACGAACAGAGAGAGTTTCTCAAAACGTTGACTGTTTAATATATTATTACAGTTATTTAAATTTTTTCTTCTTACTTGGCAGAAACATATAATTAAATAAAAAGAGTAACTGAAAATTTAACAAATAAATAATTATTAAGAACAAGCTTTCCATTTGTGTAAAGGTCATTTATTTTTGACAGAGAGATTGAAACAAAATTTCCTCTGTGGCTAAGAGCGATATTTTACTTCCTAAAATTATGGAATAACTCATGAATTTGCTACGTAATTGTGAAGTGCATTTTTGTCGTAAATTAATTGGTGGTTTTATCTGTTCTTTAAATATACGCTTTAAAAATAATTTTGACTACCAGGCTGTGTTAATTTTTTGATTAATTTATGAAAACCGTATTTCTACAAATAAATTACTTGTAATTAGTTGGTGTATTTAATGTACTGTTTGAAGGGGTGTCCAGTGGCCTGGAAAAATGAAAAACGTATGTATTTAGACAACTGTAGATACTTTGGTGGTGAAACTCTAAATATTAGGTATCAATCAAATAATTCAACTGGTGGTCATTTATTTTGAAAAACATGTTCAGTAATTCAAGTCCATTTTTTATTACTTTATCGTATAAATTCAGCGTTTTCAGCCTTTCATCCCAATCGAGGTTGAAATTTTAAAAGGATGCGCATTAACGTATTCTCATATTATTTCATTCAAAAGTGGTTATATTTGAAATTCAAATAACTAAGAGAACTTGAAAGTTTATATGTATAGTCAATGAAAAAATAAACACAAATTACATGTAATGCTTACCAAAATAATAGAAATAGTTGCCATAAAAAATTTTTCTCAGATAAATCCAGGTTTTTGAAAAATATAGCTACGCAAATATGTCTGAAGATGTATATTTTATTTTTAGCACTTGAATTTTTACTCTATTGGAAAGGTATTCAAATAAAAACATTTTTTCCTAAAACCATTCTATCAAATGGAGTCTCTGTTCTTTGATACCTAAAATCTAGGTGTGTAAATTTTTAACTGTTGATAGTGAGGAAAGCAACTACCTACTCTAAGAAACAATTATTCACATTAATTTAGTAATACTCAACACTTGACACTGTCGTTTCAAAATAAAATTTTTTTAAAGTTGTAGAAGTTACTTGACGAAATATTGCTAACTAAAATGTAGAAACACAATTTTTCTGTAGTAGCTATTTTATGTGATGGACTTTGTCAAAGGTGATGTTAGAATGAAAAAAATATGAGATATACAGGGTGTACCTAAATAACACCAGAAAAATATAAGGGATGATTCTCTGATGAAAATTAATAGGGGTCTTTGGTATAATTTTTTTTTAAAAAAACTCTCCCTGAAAAGTTACGCCCCTCCAAAAAATGAATTTTATCTGTCAAAAAAGCTACACTTTTTAAATTTTTTCAATCCTGAAGTAATTTTGTAAGGGGTTGAAATAATTAACCCCTATGACAAAGAATAATAATAATAATTCAGAATATACGCAGTGTTCCAATATTCTCTTACCTACCTGCAACTTCTAGAGATTCTTGAGATAAAAATAAAAAAAATGAAATAATACAACAAATAATTAAGCTCATATCTTTTTGCAGGTAACCTAATAACTTCTATACTTGTTTTATTGGAGTATTTTTTTCTCGTGTATTTCATGTCTCTAATTAATTTCTCTTAATTAATTTTATAAATCATCACTAACTCTTCTTCTTTCGATTGATGTTTGATTAATGTTCAAAAATATGATTTATGTAATTTTGAAAAACGAAATATGTCGTCGTTTTGTCGTTTAGAAAATTGAAATCTATAATATTTTTTCAGAAAAATTATTGAACTATCAAATTTTTTGTAAAAAAAATAGCACTCATCTCAGATTTCTCTTACTAGACTATCAAATCTGAATAAAATGATTATGCTTGTTT